TGCAAATCCAAAATTCATGAATAATGATGATTCACTGTATTTATTTGTTTATGCATTTATAGTCTACTTACACACATATCCATGCTCTTTCTTTCTCTCTCTCTCTCTCTCTCTCTCTCTCTCACACACACACACACACATGGATCCAGTGGAGCAGAAACTGTCTCATTTTCCACTGTACCCCAATGCCTAGCACATATCTTGACATATCATAAGCACTCATAAAATATTTATTGATCAATTTATTGAATAAATGAGTGAATGAATTGCTTTCCCTTTTCTTCCTGTCTAAGTAGACCACCACCACTACTACCCTCCTTAGTTTTATCTCTCACCCTGTTTTCTCCTAAATAGCAGTTGCCACAATTTGTACCTATGTATTTATGAGTGTACTTATTTGTTTAATGTCTGTCTCTTTGTTTAAATTGCATAAACTAACACCAGCACCATGCTTTTCACATAGTAGGTGCTTAGTAAATATTTCTCGACTAAATAAATTGACTGGTAAGAAAATCAATGAACCTGAGAATGGGGCATAATGGAAATGTTTTAGCTGAATGTAAATGAACTAAAAAATAGAAGCAAGTATATATGTTTAAGGGAAAAAAACCCAAAAACCCAGCCTCAGTATTTCGTAGTGAGACTGGAGGGTAGGTTTGATTTAGCATCCCCTTATGCTAGAGCATGTCTCCTGTACCCCCAGACTCCCCTCAGGGCAACATCAGGACCCCTCTGACTTCCTTGCTGTGAGGTTCTGACATTGCCAACTATCACTCACGGCTCATGGTTATCATCCTCCAAGAGGCTGAGATTTCCTTTCCTACCAAGAAACCAAGATATCAACAGACTAGCTAAAAATACTGTCTCCAAAAGGGCCTAAAGGGGCAACGCCTAGAGATTTTTAGAGAATAAATGTGATTTTTTCACGTAGCTGACACGTATGTGCCAAGCACACGCTTCCCATCTCCTCATCTCTATGAAGTAGGCATTATTGTGGTTGTTACAGAGTCAGAGTGCTGTGACTCCCAAACATTAAATAATTTACCCAAATTATAAGTCACATCTTAGTTTTTGGTTTTTGGCAGCTTGCCATTATGGGGATCCATACAAATCACCACAGACAGTGGCTTAAACAGCACAAATTTATTACCTAACAGTTCTGGAAATCAGGAGACCAAAAGTACTTTCTTTGGGCTGAGGTCAAGGTATCAGCAGGGCTGGTTCCTTCTGGAGCCTCTGAGGGAGAATCTGTTTCATTGCCTTTTTCAGCTTCTGGAGGTCACCCAACTGTATTCTTTGACTCCTGACCCCTTCCTCCATCTTCAAAGCCAGCATTGTAGCATCTTGTAATCTTTCTATGACCTCTGCTTGCCTTGTCACATCTCCTTTCTTGACTTGATCCTCTTGCCTCCCTCTTATAAGAACCCTTGTAATTACACTGGGCCCACTTCAGGGGCCCAATAATCTCCCCATCTCAAGCCCCTTAAGTTAATCATATCTGCAAGTCTCTATGCCATGTGCATTGTCCATTTTCTGTTGCTTATAACAGAATACCTGAAACTGAGTAATTTATAAAGAAACAAAATTTATTTCTTACAGTTTTGGAGGCTGGGAAGTCCGTTGTTCAAGGGGCACATCCGAAGGCCTTCTTTGGGATGGGAACGCCCTACAGGGTCCTGTGGTGAAGAGGCAATCACATGGGGAAGATGGCAAGAGCTCTTTAACATGATCATTTGCTCTCCTTATAAAACCATGAATGCCACTCCCACGACAACCCATTAAACCATTAACCCATTGCTCCATGAATGGAATAATCCATTCATGAGGGCATGGTTGTCATGATCCAATCACCTCTCAAAGGCCCTACCTTTCAACGTTGCTATAGTCTGTTTCCCATTCACTTAACACTGTTACCATGGGAATCATGCTTCAATGAGGTTTTGGAGAACATTCAATCCACAGTAACATGTAAGGTAACATATACACAGGTTTCAGGAATTAGGACATGGATAACTTTGGCGGTGGTCACTATTCTGTTTACCACAGGCTTTGGAATTAAACAGACATGGTTTAAATAATAATTCTGCCACTTAATTACTGTGTGGCCACAATTGACTTCCCCTCTCTGAGCTTCTGCTTCCTCATCTGAAAAATGAGATAGGATATCGACGTCACAAGATAGTTGTAAAAATCAAATTAGGTAGTACATGCACATTTCCTTCATAAGGCTGTCATAAAGTAGGTTCATGTTAACTCTCATTACTACCCTAAAAAAAAGATACTATAGAGAAATAGATCAATGAATGAGAATAGAGAACCCAAGAACAGAGCTGCACATATATGGTCAATTGATTTTCAGCAAAGGTGCAAAGGCAATTCAGTGGAGAAAGGATAGTCTTTTCAATGAATGATGCTAGAACAACTGGATAACTGTATGCAAAAAAATTAAACTTCAATCTGTACCTCACACCATATGTGGGTAATTCCAAAAGTGCATGGAAAGATTCGTATTATCTTTTAATTCTATTTTTTCCATGAACTTTTAAAAATACCCTCATATGCAAAAGTTAACTCAAAATGGATCATAGGCCTAAATGTAAAACCAAATAATTATAAAACTTCTAGAAGGAAACACAGGAGAACATACACAACACCCAAAGCCATAAATCTTAAGAAATCTTAAGAATTTAAGAAAATCTTTTTATAAAAAAACTTAAGATGTTTTTCTTTTATGGAACACTAGTCAGTAGTAAAAAGGAATAAACCATTACTACATGAGACAGCATGGATAAATCTCAAAATAATTATGCTGAGTAAAAGAAAAACAAAAAGAGTGCATACTGTGTAATTCCATTTATAAATATGCCAGAAAAAGTAAAGTAATCTATAGTGACAGAAAGCAGATCAGTGGTTGCCTGGGGATGAGGGGGGAGTACTGGACAGGGGGGCAGGAGGAAACATTTGGGGCTTATAGACAGGTTCTTTATATTGATTGTGGTAATGGTTTCATGGGCATGTGCATGTATTTATCAAATTGTATGTACACTTTAAATATATGTAGTTTATTGTTCATCAATTACATCTCAATAAAGCCGTTTTTTAAAAAACTAGATAGCCACCAAAATGTTAAAAAAAAAAAAATACAGATGAAATGTATCTAGTATGAGGATTATTTAAATGAACTGGTTTTTTGTTTTTTTTTTTTAAAAGATGACTGGTAAGGGGATCTTAACCCTTGACTTGGTGTTGTCAGCACCATGCTCACCCAGTGAGCAAACCGGCCATCCCTATACGGGATCCGAACCCATGGCCTTGGTGTTATCAGCACCTCACTCTCCTGAGTGAGCCACAGGACGGCCTCTAAATGAACTGTTTCATTATGCAGGACAATATATGCGTATCCCGTAGTTGGCACGGCACAGCCCTCTATGTTGTGCACACAGTGAAACTCGTAGGCATGAACTGTGTAAAGCTGGAGTCTGCCTTTGGCTCCTGCTCCATCAGGCTGCTAGGTGAATAGCTGCCATTCAGTGTGTCCTACAGAATGTCATGTCTGTTTCCTCCTGGATTATGTTTGGAGAAGGAGCAGCACGCTTGCCTGGGCTCGGCAGTGTTCACTCACTACAGAGGAAGTATAGCATGGTAGTTAGAGTGCAGGGACCATGGTGTGGATCTCAGCTCCCCCACTTCCAACTCCCAATGGCTCACCTTAAACACATTACTTGAACTCTGTGGGCCTCAGTTTCCTCAGCTCAAAAATGGAAGCAATTATAGAAACGACCTCAGAATGTTGTGTAAAGACTAAGTGTGTTAATAATGCACATAAAGTGCTTAGAACTGCTCCTGGCACATAGAGGTGGGGCTCCCTGGAAGTTACCATAATTAATTAACATGGCTGTTATTCACTCACACTGTTGGGCCTGACGTCTGTGCTAGCCTGTCCCCCTACCCAGCAGATATTGTCCTTATGGCTGGCACTCTTGACCTCTGCCAGCCTCAGGAGACCCTGAAGCCCTCACCCTCTACTCTAGTACCTCTCTCACCCTCCCTGGAACAACCAATGTCCCCTTCCGCTCAAGGCTCCAGTGAGCCCAACTCACTGCTCATCACCACAGCCTCGTGGCTGGAGCCCGGGGTCTGTCCTCAGTGTATGCCTCAAAGCCTAAACAACAGCAGTTCTTGTTTTGAATTTAGCCAGAGACTCTTTAGGGTGGCCAGAAGCATCAGGCCTTGTTCTGTTTGGCTGGGTGTTGTGCTAAGGCATAAAGGCTCTAGACTATAGAAGGTCTGTGTGGTCTATTAGCTGCCAGTTCTCTGCAGTTATTACTGATTGCCACCCCCAGCTAGAAACAGTCTACAAGTTTTACTAACTTCTGGATAAAGGCATGTTAGATACTGTATTAAAGCTGTTCCGAGGGGCTGGCCGGTTAGCTCAGTTGGTTAAAACATGGTGCTCATAATACCAAGGTCCAGGGTTGATTCCTATACTGGCCAGATGCCCCCCAAAATAAATAAAAACGGAAAGAACCATAAGCAACACAAAGTTGCCTTGAAAAAGACCAATTAGTGAAGGGATCATTTTTGCAAAAAATGTCAAGCTAGGAGAATTTGAAGAATGTGTTTAGTGGGGGCAGGTAACATAGAACACAGTCTTTGTCACCATGTTTCCAGTTTCTTGGATGGCAGGAAGCTTTCTGGTGTTTCTGAATACCCCGGTTTATACAGTGCCGCCTCCTTTTAGGCACTAGTGCAGGGTAAGTCTCACAGCTCCACCTAGTGCTTTTCTAAGGCAAAACTACAGAACTTTTATTACGCATTCCACAGTGTACAAATGACCTTCCACAGTATGTTTCCCAAGGATTACTTGAGTGTGAATCACATCAACAGTCACTTATTGAACATCTTGTAGGTGCCAGGCGTTCTGTAGTATTTTGAGGGAGACACAAAATAGATAATTTATCCCTAACTCATGAATAACTTGAATTCCAAATGTTTGTTATGCCAACTGACTGCTATTTGGAATGTCTTTCCACATATATCCAGTCTTATGCATACAATTATTTATTTCTTTATTTTTTCAGCCACTGCCCAGTACCGGGAACCAGACCCTCACCCTTGGTGTTACAAGGCTGTGCTCTAACCGAGCTAACCAGCCAGCCCTGCATACAGTTATTAAAAACCCCCAAATTACCTGAATTATTGTATCCACTGGGGTGTGGGGATGGGGAATGTTTCAGTGGGAAAATAAGCTCAAAAATCCGACCTGAGAGGCCCCATACACTTCTCCCCTTGCTGGCGCACCTGCTAAGCAGTTGGAGGGAGGGTGGGACATCCAGGTGTGTGGGAGCTGGAGAAGATGGGAGTAGACCCTGCGACCCTGGGAGTGCTGAGTTGGGGGAGGGAGTTCTGAGGCAGATGCAGAGCTGAGACTGGGGTAGTGAAAGCTGATTGTGATAAGGGTAAGAAAACTGGAAGATGGCGTGGGGGAGAGGAGGGCAGCAGGCAAGATGCTCTCTTTTCCTCTTGCAGCCACTGTCCCAGGGCAGGCTGCCGCTGAGGACAGGCCTGGGTGGGAGAAAGGAACGGGAAGGCCAGGGTCAAGGCTCCTGCAGCCACCTCCCTCCTCTTCTGAGGGCAATCCTGGGACTGGTGGACCAGAGTGGAAAAGGGGGATTCTCTACCCACCTGCCTTCCTATGTCCAGGGGTTTATTAATATAATCCAACTGAGAAGTCAGTCACGGAAAAATGTGAGGAATTGCAGGACAATAAATTCGACTGTGAATAGGGGAGCCCAAAAGAGCAGAGGTCCAGGATCTAGGGTGGAGAGGTTTCTTTAAAATGCGGGATCAGTGAGCAAATGCACGTGCTAAAGGAAAACAGCTTAGCAGCAGGAAACATTGATGGGGCCGAGGTGGCTGAGGAGGGTGGGGAGCGGTGGACAGGTCCTGCGAGTGGGGGGAGGGCAGAAAGGAGTGACTGCGTTGTCAGCTGGGGGCGGGGCTGCAGGTCAGGCGGGTCTCTGTGCTGTGTGGACAGTGGGACAGTGTTCTCTGTGTGACAGGAAGCCGGTCGCCCAGACGGAGAGCAGGCCGCAAGTGAGGCGTGAGGTTCAGGGTGTTTTAGGAAAGTCATGCAAGCTTGAAAGAGCCTAAAAAGGCAATCATACCTATCATTTCACTTTTAAAACCTATCCCAAGAAAATAATTTTGAAATTTGACAAAAATTGATAAACTAGATATTTGTTTGTAGGATTATTTGTAATAATCGGAAACATGAGAAAAAAATTAGGATGCTTATCAATAAGAGAATGGTTTAAAATTATGCTATAGAATTATTTTAAATGATGTTTGAGAAAAATTATTTAATGTCACAGTAAAATACTTGTAACATAATGGTAAGTATTAAAATCAGGATTTAGAAATTCATATAAGGTATATATGGAGTGCCTAGAAGAAAATAGAGCAAAATATTAGTAGGGGTTCTTTCTTTAGAAATAGTATTATGGGGGCCGGCCCGGTGGCGCACTGGAGAGTGCGCCGCTTGGGAGCGCGGCGGCGCTCCCCCTGCGG